ACCCGGCAAACGCTCGTCTAGCACCTAGCGGTACCACCAACCCCCCCCCGCCCCACTCCACCCCCGCCGCGCCCCCCCGCCGCGCCCCCCCGCCGCAACATCGCCCCCCGCCTCGTCCGCCTCGTCCGCCTCCTCTGCACCCGCCCCGCCGTTCGCGCACGCGCCCCCGCTATGGCGAGCACTTTCCTCTTCACGTCCGAGTCGGTCAACGAGGGACACCCGGACAAGCTCTGCGACCAGGTGTCGGACGCCGTGCTGGACGCCTGCCTGGAGCAGGACGAGTGGTCCAAGGTCGCGTGCGAGACCGCCTCCAAGACGGGCATGGTCATGTGCTTCGGCGAGATCACCACCAAGGGCTCCATCGACTACGAGCGCGTCATCCGCGACGCCATCCAGAAGATCGGCTTCGACGCAGAGGAGAAGGGCCTCGACTACAAGACGTGCCGCGTCCTCGTCGAGCTCCACGCCCAGAGCCCCGACATTGCACAGGGCGTCCACGAGGGCCGCACAGCCGAGGACGTTGGTGCGGGCGACCAGGGTATCATGTTTGGGTACGCTACCAATGAGAGCCCTGATTACATGCCGCTCACGAGCTCCTTTGCCAACAAGCTCGGCTACCGCCTCACCCAGGTCCGCAAGGACGGCGTGTGCCCGTGGGTCCGCCCGGACGGAAAGACCCAGGTCACTATGGAGTACGCCAAGTCGGACGCCGGGAAGCTCACCCCGCTCCGCGTGCACACCATCCTCATCTCCACGCAGCACTGCGAGGACGTGTCCAACGAGAAGATCCGCGCAGACCTCATGGAGAAGGTCATCAAGAAGGTCATCCCGGACAAGTATCTGGACGACCGCACCATCTACCACCTCAACCCGTCGGGCCGCTTCGTCATCGGCGGCCCGGAGGGCGACGCCGGCCTCACCGGACGCAAGATCATCATCGACACGTACGGCGGCTGGGGCGCCCACGGAGGCGGCGCCTTCTCCGGGAAGGACCCCACCAAGGTCGACCGCTCCGCCGCCTACGCGGGCCGCTGGGTCGCCAAGTCCGTCGTCGCCGCGGGCCTCGCCGACCGCTGCCTCGTCCAGGTCTCGTACGGCATCGGCATCGCCGAGCCGCTCTCCATCTTTGTTGATACCTACGGCACGGGCGCCAAGTCTGACGCCGAGATCACCGATATCGTCAAGGCCAACTTTGATCTCCGCCCGGGCCATATCATCCGCGAGCTCGACCTGCTCCGCCCCATCTACTCGAAGACCGCCGCCTACGGACACTTTGGACGCGACGACTCCGACTTCACCTGGGAGAAACCCAAGACGCTCAAGTTTTAGAGGCTTGCCGCCGTTTCCTTTTTCTCATGCAGGCTCTACGGTTTTTTTTGTCGTTTTGCTCGCGCTTTTGCTTGCTAAAAGTCTTATCCCGGGCGTGTAGCCTGCCCGCGTGATTCTCGAAGAGAGCCTGTTTTCCCCTTTTGTCCCTGTCCACCCCCGTTTTTCTGTCGTCGCCTTTCTCGAAAAAGTAAAAAGACTGTCGACATCTACTACTACATCTTGTTCATTTCTTTTTGTTTTTTTTTGCTTCCCGCGCTAGCTAGGGCTGCGCTCGTGCGAGGACTGGGGTGCGCTGTGCACAGCCCTGCTCCGCCCCGTCAATAGATGCTTCTCTCGCAAAGATGCAAGTCCGTCGGTATCATTGCTGCATTGTACAATGCTCTAGCTGGTCTACACTGCTATACAGTAATACGTACAAATTCTGCAGTCGCGCATGGTGCATGTGCGACGCTTCGGAGGTCAGCGAGAGACTTGGCAGAGACGGTGGGCTCGGCGCGCGTCGCTCTGGTGACACGGCTGTGCGGAAGGGGTGCGGCGTATGTCGCGGTGCTCGGCTCCTCGCAAGCTGCACGAATGAGGCAACAACAACAACAACAAAAAAATCACTACTGCCCGTCGAGGGGTAATGCAATGTTTACAACTCTTCTTCATGATGCGCTTCGTCGCATGGAAGAGGCGATGCGCTCGAGCATATATATATACAACATACACAACATAGACAGCCGTGCTGTCGCTGCCGCTGAGGCACGCGGAGGGGGGGGGGGGGGGGGTGCGCACAAACCACAAACTATGGTTTGGCGACGTCTAGGTAGTCGTCGTCGCGCGCCTTGGCAGAGCCAAGAATGGCCATGACCGGTTGCGGCTTGAGGACGGCGTCCATGTACTCGACCGACTGCGTCTCCATTTCGGGCTGCAATGCTAGGCTTGCGACTGTCGCTACCTCGTCTTCTCGTTTCCGCTTTTTGGAGGATGCCCGCGAGCCCGACTTGCGCCTCGCCGCGTCTTGATTTCGTCGTCCGGCAGAAGTCTCCTTCTGTCTAGCAGATTTCAACTTGCGCCCCGCCTCTGACTTTCTCCTCTTCTTCTCATGTTCAAAATCGGGATCCTCCTCAAGCTCTCGCTTCCGCTGCTGCTGTTCCGATCGCTTGACAGGCTTTCTTCGCCTTTCTTTCTGCTGTATTGTCGGTGGCGCACGAGAGGCGGCCAGCTTCAAATTCAACTTCAACCGAAGCCCAGAGCTCCGAAGCGGCGTTTCCCACGTCCGAAGAAAACCTCTGTATCTACGCAAAAGTTTTTCGGTGCTCGTCTGTACACCAGCCATATCTTCCAGGCGAGAGAGAAGATCCCCAAGAAGCACAGGATCATGCCTCCTGACCAGCACAGGCTTGTGTCCTGCTCGTCGGCAGCGAGAACTAAACTTGCGCCCAAAATGAGATACACATCGTGCCTCACGGTTGTCGGGGCAACTGCCGCAGATCTCAGCGTAAAAATGACAAGCGTGCTTGCATATGCTACACACTACCCCAGCACCAGGTCCAAACTCGGGTCCCAGTTGATTGTTCTTGACAAGCCCATCCACGTCGTTCAACATGGCGATCCGACAGTTGCTCGACTGAGCGTATTCCCTCAGCCTCTTTTCCCCCTCTTCCATCACTGCGCCAAGCTCGCCGGCAAGGATGCGAGCATCGCTCCTTGCGCGTGGCGGTATTTTCTCTATGTTCGTAGTAGCCAGGTGCGCATCTCGTAGCGACTTGGCCTCATGAAACAGGAGGTACTCGTATGGCACAATCAAAGTATAGGCCCCTCGGCGAGCACAGACGGACGCTTGTCGGCCGACTGGGAACCATCCTGGGTTGGCAAAATTCACAGCCTCGGCGATATTGAAACCGCAGTTGAATCCAGCATGATAAGCACGAGGTGCTGTCAATACAAAGGAACCTGGCTTGTGCCGAATACGATAGCATTCAATCCCTCGGCTTTTCAGTTCCCTCGGATCAAAGATGGTTGTCTTGCACATCAGAGATCTCTGTGCAGAAGGCTGGTCCTTGGCCAGCCGATCACTGAAAATATTCTCGGCAGCATATGTCTCGAAGGCCTCTGCGTATTTCGGAGGTATAGCGTACCAAATCTTGTCAGCGCTTCCGCGGTGAAGGTAGGAAACTGAATTCAAAAAGGCATCCTCGGTGTGCCAACAAAATCGCGTAAACATGTGACCGACGTAGAACATTGAGTGGTTCACTCCCGGCATACGCGGCATGTGACGCAAAAGACCTTTCATGTTGAGATTGCCGACATGGCACTTGGGGCCGGGAAAGTCGGCAAAAGAGGTTTCTACTTTTCGCTTCCGTTTCTTGCATCGCTGTGCAGAGGGCTTTCCATTATTCGAACGCCTTCTCTCATCATCATCGATGATGTCTTCTGGTTTGGCTGGGGCGCTAGTCACAGTAGCTTCAGCCTTGGAGGCTTCCTTCTTGCCTCCGGTTACAGGGCGCTTCTCTTTTTTAACCAGACGACCGGTATCATCCATGCCGTACCATTCCACATACGACTCGCCCTTGTATGCCCCTTCCGCCTCTACGTCAACACCGTAATTCACTGCTATTGGCTTCCCATTAACGCCCTTGTGTAGAATCTCCCAGAAGAAGCCTTCCAACACATCTGGGTTCCGTGTCCAATCCTCGTCTGCTTTCTCTTCAATAAGACGCAGCACGTCCTTGTTCACACGCTTGTCATGAACCAGAGCCTTTCGCATACGCTCACTGAACGTCATCGCCTTGCTTTCGTATGCTCGCAGTGATATCGGCTTTGGCGAGTCCGGGAATGTAGGATACTCCAATAAACGACCACATTCATCCTGAGCCCACTTGCGGAGGCTGACGTGATCGCGACTCGGCTTTTTTGCTCGTTTCAAGGGGCGAGGATTTTCCCATGTGAGGTCCTCCACTAGCCCGTGCTCAGACTTTTTGTTCTGCTCTTCTACTGCAGCTGATACTGAAGGCGTTGCATTGTTGGCGTGCGGCTTAACGTTGAATGCTGTATCCGCCTTGACCACTGCATCTGCAATGCCGGACGCGCTGCTAGAAGTGGCACCTGGGGCAACAGACGTCTCGAGCTGGGGCTCTGTGGTGCATAGCTCGCTAGATTCACGATACAGCATAGTCCCAGGGTCGCTTTCACGTGAACATGAGCGAGGACGACTTTTCGCTTCATTCTCTCCACGAGAAGGCCTTTCGCCGGCAGAGGCTGCAACAGCTTTGGAAACTACGCGCTCCGTCTCGCTCCCCTTCCCTGCAATGGGTAGAGCATCAACACTCATTGACTTTTCGTTGCTGTGCACTACCTTCGGTTGCGGGGCCACAGCGACTGCTGCAATGCCGTTTGTAGAACTGCGGATGTCGTTTTCATCTGCAGCCATGTGGGGTTTGCGTGGTAGAGGTGGTCCCACCGATGCGGTAGAAGTGACCACACTAATCGTGGCAACACTTGCCGTCATGGGACGGGCTGTACCACCACCCTCTGGATTTCTCTTTGTGGTATCGTCTGGTAGCCCTTGTTGTGGACTTGGTGCACCACTTGCCACCTGTTGCGCAGCATTAAAGGCGTCGCTTTGTTCACGAGTCAAGGCAGTTGACGGAACGATTTGCGCTGCCGGCAGCGCGGAGGATGCGCTTGCTGCTAAGATATCCATTGAGGAAGGAGCTTTCTGCGCGGGAGACATGCGACCTTCCGTTCTCTGTGGCTTCGGGATAAGCCCTGTCGGGGCAGGTGGCATTTCCATGCTTGTCAATGCCTGTTGAGGGGCATGCATAGAGCCAACGACGCTTTGTTTCTCTGGTGCCGTGACGGGCTCATGGTTCAGGATAGAGTTTAGACTGCCGCGCTTAAACGAATTTGGAATTGTTTCTTCGTTGCTTGCGCATTTTTGGGGAGCCGCTTCGGACGAAGGGGTGCCATGGTCTCCTGGATTACTGCGAAGCACATCCGGAGAGCCGTAGTCCGGCTGCGAGACAGCGACAGAAGTTGCAGTGCTATTCGGGATCACGCGCTGATTGTCTGTCCTGGAAGGAGTTTGTGGTTCGTTCAAGTATCTTCTTGCCTCGGACAGGTACCCGTGTACTGGAAAACTTGAAGGCTGCACGGAACGCGTAGCTCGACTTACTGGGGCGGAAGCCAATTCGCTGCTTATCGGAAGCCGCCCAATAACCATTCCATGTTGCTGACGAAGGAAATTGCGCTGCTCTTCACCAAGGCGATGGGCAGCGTTGCCGAGTGTGTTTCGAGGGTCTGCATTCGTGTTCATAGCATTTGAATGCATGCTAGTGTGCAGCATCCTTGATACGCCCGGCTGCGGCTGCAGCGTCCCCGTCCATTGCGCCGCATGTATCTTCGAGGCAGGAAAACTCTGAGTCATTCCGCCGCCGACAGTCGAGTGTACAGCAGGAACGATCGTTTCATAATTCGAAATACTTTGCGTTGGCATGGTGCGTTGTAAGGAAGGCGTCGACGCAGCCCGAGAGCCGGGAAGTATTAGCACGGGAGTTGGCTTCGAATGCCACGAGGGGACTGCATGATTTGTCTGAGAAACTGCAGCGGCCTGGCCGACTGGCGTAGGATTTGGGGATGTGACAGGCAGTGGTCGCGCGAAGGAATGTGCTGCTCCTGAATATGGACCAGACTGTATCGCCTTTCCAGATAGCTCGACGTTCAAAGGTGACGTTCGGCTCTCACCCGGCATGTTCACTCTTGCGGTCAGGCAAATTGTGGGATTCTCATCCTTACGTGGCCCCATTGGCATGCTTCGAACGCCCGTCTGAAAAGACTTTTGTGCGTTTGAAAGAGCGCCTTCCGTGGCGTGTTTTGGCACGGAATTCTGTGATCGCTGGGTGCAATCAAAGGCAGCGTCAGGCTTGCGGAGCCCTGGGGATTGTGGTCGTTGGTTGTAGTCAAAGGCGGCGTCAGGCTTGCGGAGCCCTGGTGACTCCCTCTTCGATTGTGACTCTTTCCTGGGCACCGGGGGTAACCCGTTGACGACAGCTGGGAGTCCGCGTTTGATTGTTGGTGGCTGAGGGACGGGCGCGTTCGGGAAAACGCCTTGGCTCAGCCCAGACGCCGTTTGAGGAATGTTGGGTGTGGAACGGGGGACGAGCGGCAAGTTGGGTCCCGTTCGCATCTGCTGAACATTCGGCGGCTCTTGACTAGGACGTTGCTGTGGTAGTTGCGAGACTGTAGATGGTGACGGTATTTGTAGGTGCATTCGTAAGGAAAGCGGATGCCGCGAGGGGAGTTGATGTGGTACAGGAATGGAGCTGGCAATGGGGGCGTGGGACTGCGGAGCAACAACTTGGGTGGGGATGTCTTGCCCTGCCGTTTGGAGTTGCGTCTTGGGAGGGAGCGCAGGCTGCAGCTGTGGCGTGGTCTGCCGACTCTCGTCTGCGGCGGTAGTAACACTTGGCTGCGCGGGTACCTCGACTTGTGTCGTAACGGGCGTGGCTGCGTCTGTTGTGCCAGAACCGGCACTGGCCGCCACAGGGGGCCGAGCGGCAGTTGGTGTGTGCAGCGAGTTGGGGGTCACGGAGGTCGGTGGCTCCGCAGAGGTAGCAACAGACTGGCCGACGGGGCCATCGTCTGAGGGATGGTTGACGAGGTCGATAACGGCGTCGCCAGGGGACACGACAACGAGGGCATCGTCCGCGTCGTGATCGTCGGCGTAATTGACGGGGTGTCTTCTCCGGGCATGCGCGGCGGCCCTCCCCCTCTTCGGGGTTTTTCTAACGACGACGACGACATCCTCGTCGTCGTCCAATTGGGCCTGCAGGCGCTGGCGCTTGTTGTCGGGGGGGAGTGCGGGCATGTCGTCGGGGTCTGGCGGGGCGGTGTCGACGAAGGGGGCCTCGGGGAGGGACTGGTTCTTGACGAAGAAGCGGGAGTCCCTGCTCATGCGGAGCGGGGGGTGCACCCATGCGGCGGGCGGGTCGATTCTGACGGCGCCGTAGCGCTCGACCATGGGGCCGACGTTGGCGATGAGCTCGACAAAGTCGTTCATCTCGGCAAGCGTAGCCGTGTACGCCTTCGCGTCGGGGATCGCGCCGGGAATTCGGGCTCCCTGCATGGTCGCAATTCAACGCGGGAAACACCGACACTCACGCCGAAGGTAAAGGTACTCTGGCAGCAGGGGGGGGAGAAAAGTTTTTCGTTTATGTGTGGCGACTTTATGCACAGCGCATGTCATGCGGCAGAATATAAGTGCCCCCTGACACGCTGCAAATTTTCAAAATTCTCACACTCCACCCCACTCGCGCCCGCGTCATACACCGGCAGGCGTCCGTCTCTGCCGCCCCGACACTCGCCCACGCCGCCGCCCCACGCGGCGGAGCCCCAGCCCCACGCGCCCGAGCCCCAGCCGTTGCGGAACCTGGACGCGCAGACGAGCAAGCGCTCCGCCTGCGCGACGGCGACGGCGTAGCCGGC